AATGAATTCAGAGATCGCGCTGAAATCAGAAGTTGTAAGAAACCTAATAGCAATTATTTATTGTTTGCCATGGGTTGTGTGTGTGTGCGTGTGATGAAATTGCTCTGAACCAGTTTCTGTAGTTCCTACAGAATGCGGTCTGTGCTTAAAGAGCGATCTGCCCGCTAGCCAGAATAAATGGTCCTTTAAAAATTACAAGTCCGCTAAGTATGAGTTATCGCAAGGTTTATTTAAATGCAAATGGTTACATCACTTTGGAGTGCTGCAATTTTGTCGCCAACTTTAGCGCTGCGACGGTTGCCCCGCTGCTTTGGTCCGTTTGAATCTGTGAAGACCTTTACATCGACTTGAAACGCAGACTTGTGCAAAGCAATCCCAGCCTGAGGGCGGTTGGCGTCAGGAAGATGTGATTTCACGCGATCTGAAGGCAGGGGTCGCTCAGATTGTCCACAAAATCCCCTTTTCCCTCGTCAGAGCTTCTCCAGCAGCTTCTCGGAGCAGACACTTCGCTCTGCTTTCCTGGGCATTTGGATCTAGCAGCAAAGGAGCCTACTAGAGCAAAACTTTCTCTAGCAAACCCCTTGTTCTCTTTTTGTTTTGCAGAAACCCCCAGTCTCTCTCGATAGATAAAAAGATTTTTTTTCTCTCTCTCTCCCCCCTACCAACACCCCCATTCCATTCCACCCTCCGGTGCGGGTGGTCTCTGAGAAATTGTTCACCATTACTTCCAAAAGTGAAGACGACTTTTTGACGCTGGCTGCGTCCAGGATCAGCCGGAAGAAGCGAGTGATTGGAGCGGCCATTGGGGTGGCCATGGTGTTGGTTCTGCTCATCGCCATCCCTTTGCTGGTCCAAAGCTCCAAGGCGTCTGCTCACTACGAGATGCTGGGCAGCTGCAGGATGGTCTGTGACCCTTACAGCCCAAAGCCTAGCTCCACAGCGGCAGAAGCCATCCAGGATTTGGCGGTGATGTCCCCTCCACCTTTCATCCACGGGGGTAAAGGCGACCAGGGTCGCCGAGGTAAACCGGGACCCAGGGGTCCTCCGGGAGAACCTGGACCCCCAGGGCCGAGAGGTCCACCCGGCGAATGGGGGGATCTGGGCAAACCGGGTCCTCCTGGGCCACCGGGTTCAGGACCAGGAACATTCAGCACAGCCTTCCATAGCCCTAAGATCGCTTTCTACGCCGGCCTTAAGAAACCCCACGAGGGCTACGAGGTTCTTAAGTTTGACGATGTTGTGACTAACGTTGGGAACCACTACGAGGCTTCTACGGGCAAATTCACCTGCACCGTGCCCGGTATCTACTTCTTCACTTACCATGTCCTGATGAGAGGAGGGGACGGCACCAGCATGTGGGCTGACCTTTGCAAGAATGGCCAGGTAAGTTGCTCACAGTCATTTCACTCCGGGAGGAAAAAAGCCCCGTGATTAGCGACAGTTAATAACTAAACCCCCAACCCCAGGCGCTCATGCTGTAAACTTTCGATTAGGTTTTACTGGAGGGGCTGCACTTCGGGGGCTGTTGTTCTCGGTGGAGGGGCTTTGGGGTGGAGGAAATGGCACTGGATTTGCAACATTTTGTCTGTCTTCCTTCCCAGTGTTCTTCCCCTTCTGTCCCCTCAATCGCGGGGATACAGTGATGTTCCAGCCTTGCCCAAAAAGCAAGGGCACGGTTCCAAACTGAGTTCAAAGGGACGAAAGGCCGTGCGGTTGAGAAGGCCGTGGATGTATAGTATGTGTTTACTTTATCATGAGAATTAACGCGCACAGACAGAGACCATCCACTTGCCTTTGCGAATCTGTGAAAGAGTTTCCAATTAGACCCCCTCTCTACTGTTTCTCCCCTTCCCCATAATGCTGCAAAGCCCCGCTTTTTAAATATATACCCAACTCCACTTACCTTGCCTTTGCGAATCTCTGAAAAAGTTTCCAATTAGACCCCCTCTCTCTACTGTTCCTCCCCTCCCCCCCCCCCATACTGCTGCAAAGCCCCCCTTTATAAATATATACCCAATTTGTTTTAAAAAGTTGCTGCTTTCCACTGCTTTTAGGCAATGCATTCTAGTTAACTTTTGGCGTCCAAAGAAATCTCACCTTTCCCTTTGGCTTTTTTAAAATTTGCTAATTATTTTAACGCTATCTCCCTTGGTTACGGATCCCCACATAACTGAATTTCCTCAATTCTGACAGAAAATTCTACATCTCATCTTCTGAAAGTGACGTTTCCTGAAATTGAACACTGTATTTTAACTGAAGTGATTTATGCAGGTTTAAAACTTAATTCCCTTGTTTTGTACTCTATGCCTTTGTTTAAAAAGCCCAGGATCGTGTGTGTGCATGTATTATGTCTATATGTGGGTGCCCATTGTAAATAATTATTGGGCAATTGTAAACAAAAAGTATGTTCAGCGTAATTTTGTGTTAAAAGTGTGCATTGCACTGAGGAAATCTTGCATGAACCCATGGCCAACACCTATCAATCCAGGGTGCACTCCTGCCTCGGCTCCACTCCTAGAAAAACTTAGTGCTGTTTACTTATTACTCTGGTCTAATGAAAGCCCATGAAGAAGTATCTTGACTTCCAGTTTAATGTTTCATTACCACAGTATCCTATTTCGTAAATCACTTGTGGATCCACCATCTTGAAAGTCTTGCTACCCAACATAAACCTAATGTTGAATCAGAGATAGTAGGAACTGCAGATGCTGGACAATCCTCATAAACCTGATGTTGTTCAGTTACCACGGGACTATACTGAGTTTGTAAACTGGCAGACGTCATAAGCAGTTGATGTGATCCCAAGCTGCTGGCTTGGGCAGCTGCACTTCAGTTGGCAGTCACCTTACGGTGAAATGATTTTGTGTTTTTTTTAGGTTTCATTTGCTTTAGACTATGACTGGTAAGTTTTGTTAACTGGCAAGGCCCAGGTGTGTTCAAAGCTCTGGGTCATATTCAACTCCTGAGCTCTAGTGGTCTATTCCTCAAAACCCAGGCAACTCAGCACTACTGCTTTTACAGATGTTACTTGCTGCTTATGCAATTTATAGGTATGAAATGCTGTTTGTTACATTTAAATTCTAAGTGCACCTCAGATCTGTTGGTATTTGTAACTTGAAGTATCTGCAAATGAACGGGTGCACAGCATTCAACTTCATACATTCTGTACCTTCTGTGGTAATGCATATCACAAAGCTTTGGATTTCCCCTGACACTCTCCAGCAAACTGATGAGATTCAGGCCCTCATCAAAATATGTCACCCCGCACAGTGGGATTTCTCCAGCGCTACAACGAGAGAGACTGGCACCAGTGCAAGGCTGTAGCTGATCAGTCTTTTAACAAAATCTTTTAAACAGCTTTCCACATGCTTTTCCCTTGTGTACTGTCAAAAACTAGTCACAGCCTAAAAGCATGTGGAAATATTGCTAAATAATAAAGCAATGTTTCCTCTTTTATGAATGGCTGTTATTTTCTGTTGATTGGTACTGGAAAAATGTCACTGGCAACCTTCTGAATAGCTATTGCTTCTGAACTGGATTGTTGGCATCCAACAAATGAATATTGAATGGGACCGGTGGCAGCCAGGGTTGGGTCCCTCAGAACATTGTTGGGCAAAGCCTTGTGAGGCATATTTTCTCATCTGCAATTGGAAATGAACAGTCAGTGTGCTTTGGATGGTATCTTATCCACCCAAATGAAAAAGGAACTGAATGTTATTTTTGCCAGTGACATTGCACAAAAATTTATACTGGTTTAGAGAATCGAAACAGGTGTTTGAAAAGAAAATGAAAAAGAAATGCTTCAAGAAACATTTTTTGATTGTGAAGATATCCCTTTAATAGCTCCCTGTGATTTGATTATCTTGGCGTAAGCCATATTCTCTTTGGGGATTCAGTTAGCCCATTCAAAGTATCCCAAATGTGACAAAATATGACACTTTTGAGGCTCCAACTGCAAATAGAAGTATATGGTCACTCACTTAAATGAACAACTCAAGTACTTACATTAGAATTAAAGACTCTGATTCTTATTCCCATTGTTTTCTACATGAAACACAACCATCTGAATTACACGCAGTTACGTGCAAAAAATAGTTGTTTACAAATTTGTCCCATTCACTTATTTAAAGATTTTAACAGCTTGCTGCCCTTTTTCATTGAAACAAGAGGGTTAAAAATGCTGTGAGTAGAGATGAGTGTAGAAATAAAAGTGAGAACTGAACAGCTTGATTGTCACTGTTCCTGGCATCCTTTATGAAACAACAGATTTAATGTATAAATCCCAAAGAGATGTGAGATTAATTATGCTTAATGACATAACCTATTTATTTGGATAAAATATTCGGTGCCTGCAACATCTCACATATTTGGACAGTGGTTGATTTTCATTTTTCCTTCGCCTGCGCTTTCTCTTTTCCTAACAATGTTACTGTGCTTTTAACATTTTACTGTGGTGATTGTGTTTTGTATTAACTTAGAAAGATTACTGTTTTTAAAAACTAACAGATGTGTCTGTGATAGACGCATAAGCCTCTTTGCTTCTTCCTTCCTATAACCTTCAACCTGTCCTGGACTCGCAATGTCTTTTCAGGGTCAACAATTGAACTTTGTCCTCCCAAACATCCTTTTTGTCTTTGTTTTGTTTGATTCATAAATTCACAGAGCACAATGGCTTCTCTGCCCTTATCTACTCTATAGTCCTGTTTTACTTTGTTCCACCTGATTGGTTTTGTGATCTCCCATAAAACTGACATCACTTGAAATTTAAAATATAAATCAAGGCAATGTGGTTCTTCGTTTCCCCCATCCTTTTGTGGTAATGTTTGCTCTACATCAGGGCGAAGATTGTCAGTGATTGAAAATGGAACAATTTTCCACTTTAGGCAACAGTTTCCATAATCAAGGATGCTTAGATATAACGTGGCGTGATGCAGAGTAAAGCTTCCTGTAAAGTAAAGCTATGTGCATTAACCCGAATCTTGAGTCAAGCACTTTCTGGGACACCAGTGCAATGTTTCATCTTCCTACAACAACTACCTTTCTGACCCCTCCAAGTAACATTGTCAATTTGATGGCAATTAGTACTCCATTTACACTGTGTAGCCATGTCTGCAAGGAACAGGCTCACGACCATCCAACTTTATTTCATCTAGGCCCCCTAATGAGAGGAGCATTTTAACTCATCTATCTTGGCTGGAGTTGAACCCAGCGTACAAGTGAAAGGGTGATGTGTCAACAACATGTGGATCCAATCTTTGCGACTGCTGTTTTTGAGACCAAACACTGCAGCCTTGGATTGGTTTAAAACCTGTCTGTACTGTGTATTCAACAACAGTTGCCCTTTTCAAGGGCGTTTAGGAATGGGCAAGAAATGATAGCCTCATCAGCAAAGCCCAATAACAGAAGAATAGAACAAAACGGTTTGTTGCTAGTCGGGAATGGATTTGACGTTGTTAAATTGTTACAAGGCTCTCGATTGCTAAAACTTTCACATTACACAAAGGGGATACCAAACCAATGCATGTGGTAATGTTTTCCAATTTAAAAATAAGATTCTCACGACTATATTAAATAAATTTTTGAAAGAAATACACAGCACGTTTTAAAATATTCAAGGTATCAAATGACAGTATCATCACTAGTTACCAAATTTAAAAGGAACACACCTTGATATAAAATCTGACTTGATTCAGCAATTGGCAAATAAAAAATCGTTCAAATAAACTGGGCCTGCAGAATCCTAAACTCACTGAAGAATTGCCAAATCAGTTAACACTGTGCTGTTAATAAATACCTTTTGAGTACAGCTGAATGCAGATGCACGTGAGAATGGGATTGATAATAGGAGCAAATGGGGATGATCAAATTTTGTGAGCGATATGATGATTCCTGAGCAGATTGGACCAATTAAATGTCATTAAAAAGAAAGGCGTGAAATGTATAATATGGTGTCACTTAAAATGGTTGGTCTTGCATTTGAATTAATTTACTTTCATGGCAGAGGAGACAAGGTTTGTCGAACCAAAAGCAGAAATTGCTGGAAAATCTCAGCAGGTTTGGCAGCATCAGAGGTAACGCTTCAGGTTCAGTGACCCGTCTTCAGAAAGTTTGTAGAGTGTTTCATCAATCCAGGGTAGATTAAATATGGCCTGCAGTAGGAATCGCCTTGATTTGGTGGACATTCCTATTAATTTAAGAAAATGTGATTTCACCATCATAACAGGTCTTTGTAGGTTGCCAGTTGTGTGATTGTAATGAGGTCAGCCGGGTGGACTTCATAGGATATGAGTTCCCTGACTGGAGCTGTTAAACTGGTCCACTCAGGGAGCCCTGGCTGACAGATATAAACAGGAGTGTCAGAGTGTTCACTCTGAAAGCTGGCT